CCGTGCTCAGTGGTGTGTGCAGAGTTTAACAATTGAACACACCCGGTGAAACGTAAACATTAACAACAACAGAGCTCGTGCCCTGTTTACAAAAACAGTTTACGTTTCACAGGTGTATTCAATATGTTAAACTCTGTACACAACTACACAACACTGAGCACGCGCTGACAATACTTAAGTGAGTGGGTTTTGCTTTCGCTTTCTGGATTATAGATGTAATATTATTCATTAATACACAACAAAATTGCTACTTTTCTTAAGTATTAAGGATAAAGTTAAAAATTGTGAAAGTGCAAGGATGTGTTAATCAAATGCCTCCCAAAATACGTAGTTTCAATAATTTCCAGATTAAATAAGTTTTTAATTTTATTTTCGTGTGAAATGCTATAGCAACATATAAGCTGTGATATACAGAAAATTTGAGAAAATATAAACCTCAAATCTGTGTGTATGCACCTTTAAGAGATGAATTTAATTGAAAGAATTCATGAGGACATGAACTACGATGCTTCACGTCTGCATATTTCATGAAGTGCGTTAGCGCTTCCTGATAAATATGCAGGCATGAAGCGTTGTAGTTCATGTACCTCATGAATTCTCAAAAATTAAATTCATTTCTTATATTTACATTATTTTTCTGATGACTTGTCACATATTTATACCCCCGCTCCGAAGGAGAAGGGGGTATACTGTTTTACCCTTGTGTGTGTGTCTGTCTGTCTGTCCGTCTGTGTGTGTGTCCATCTGTCTGTCCGTAACAAATTTTTGTCGCAGTTTTCTCAGCAATTACTTATCGCTGATGCTTGAAATTTTAGCACACTCTTTGTTTAGGCATGCCATATGGTGAGATTCATTTTTGTGAGAATTCGACATCAACTTCCTGTTTATCCATGCATCTGTCCGTACCATACATAACAAATTTTGGTCACAGTTTTCTCAGCAACTATTCATTGTAGATGCTTCAAATTTTAGCACACTCTTTGTTCAGGCATGCCATATGGTGGGATTCATTTTTGTGAGAATCCGACGTCAACTTCCTGTTTATCCGTGCGTCTGTCCGTACCATACATTACAAATTTTAGTTGCAGATTTCTCAGCAATTACTTTTTGCAGATGCTTGAAAGTTTAGCACATTCATTGTTTAGGCATGTCATATGGTGGGATTCATTTTTGTATGAATCTGATGTCAACTTCTTGTTTATCCCTGTGTCTGTCCAAAAATGAACATGTGTATTCACATCAGAGTGGGGGTATTATTAGTAAGCATTGGCTCACAGACTTCTTGTTTTGTCATTCAACGATAATTTTTGGGGGAAAAAAGTTTGCACTATTTTTTAACTTCAATCACATCACAATGGAAATATTCATAGTCATCCCACGGTAGTTCATGAGAACATGAACTTTTTCTAATTTGCAAAGAATCTTAAGGAAAAACATTTGGAAATGTAAATATAAAGATTTACAGTTCTGTAACTATAAATCTAAAGATTTACAAATCTGTTTCAAGAATAAGTCATTAATTGGAAAGGAAACACACAAAAAAGAAAAATATCCAGTGATGTTTTTTATATATATACATGTATATATAAAACTAACATAATGATTGACAAATTATAATGCATAGTCAACATTGATTTAAGTAAAGAGACCTTAATTAAAATTGTATTGTTTGCAGTGCAAGAAGACAAAATCTACAAAGATATATTTATTTTTTCTGAAAATCTTCAAAGTTTTAGCTGAGCTCATCTGAATCGAAAATGCACAGCAGTGCCCAGGCAGATTCCCAACCAGAAGAACTAAGGCATACTCAGAGCTCATACATTTGGCAACTTAATTTTTCTGATAATGACAACTTTTAATGCAATTACATTACATTTAATCAATCCTTATTCAGTATAGTTCCTGTGTCTGCATCTTTTACAGAGTGTACTGAGGTCTGTTCATCAGCGCTAACATTCGCAAAAGCTCACTAAAATTCCTTATCCCTCCAACAGAAATGTTTGCAAGTGCTCTGGGATGTTTGCACTGTTGAACAGCCTCTGGTATGTTTCAGTCTCATGACATTTGAAAAAAATAATGTACGTATAGCCAAGACCAACTATAAATGTCTTCAAGAATGCAAGAAACTTAACTCTTTCACAGAAAACAAGAACTAAGTAAGAGTTAATCATCTTGCTTCATTGCGAATGAGAGGAAATGTCCAGAGTATTTTTAAATATTTAATCGATCAGTTAATTCACAGAAGCATGATTAAAAAATCCTTCGAATATTTATTACTGAGTGATGAACAGTGCTCATTGGCCAGCTCTTATGAATAAATTTATGTGAAGTTCATATGCAAATATTGACCCAGAGAATTTCTTACAATAATTGAACTCCAAAGTAAACATCTCAGCTGATAGCCTATCACAAAAATCCTTAGAAATGCAAACTAGTGACACAGGAAATGAATATCAATATGTTGTGTTTATCAAGAGTGTGTAAATAAATGGCTGACTTGTACTTCAGAGGACACAAAAAAAATAGACAGCATTGCATGATTGGTCACAGTTCTGTTTCACATGTATACAGGCAGTGTTTTTACCAATATTTTAAAAGCAGCCTTACATTCCGAATAACATTAAATTGAAATCTTAAAAATAATTGGGAAAAAATACTTAATTTGGGGAGAAAAATAGCCACATTTTTTAGGGAAACTTCCTCAATTTGTATCTGAGATGAACCAGTCTCAGTTTATGGTATATATATAACATTTGTACTCATACAAAGTTTCTAGTATGAGTTTTAATTCTCTGTAAAAATGTTTGATATATAGAAAGAAATTTAAAGCTTTTCATTCCTGAAAATCTACAACTGGAGCACATACTGTATACAGGGAAATTTTTGCCCCTTTCACCCTCATCCCCAAGAGGGTGAATTTAAAATGGGGTGAGTTTTGGAAGACAACATTATATCTCAAACACGACTATGTCTGGGCAAATTTAAAATGGAGCAAAATTGTTTGCAAGTGCATGGCCATAGGAACCGGGTGGGGGGAGGGCACAAATATATATTTGCCGATATATAGAATACTATAGAAAACATAGCTACTATATGCTTGTGCCCCATTAATAATAAGGTCTGATTGCTTTTTTTTTTTTTTTTTGCTTGTCAATAATGCCCCCCCCCCAACTGAAAATGTAAGGTTGTGCCCCCTCAAAGTGAAATTGCTTCCTACGGGCCTGAAGTGTGGAGGGGTGAAAACAACATAGGGCAAAATAACCTTGCCTACTGTATCAATACCCAAGAATAGAAGTCAACATTAAAATCAGGGATTGTCACAGAGCATATTTTAGATCAGTCATTCTGAAATGAAAAATATGGCAGTGATTTTGATGTACTATTGCACTTAGTGAAAATTACTTCCATTTAATTTTTGATCTCTGTCCAAACTAAAGTCACCACTCTAGAACACACATGTAAATAGTCATAGCCTTTCACAGAAACCTACCAAATTACTGACTTTCAATTCATGAATTCAGATACTTGTATTTTCAGACTATTCTTTTTTATGATTATTTTTGAATTCAAATGAGGAAGCAATAGCTGAATTGTTTTGACTAAAATTGTAATGTACCAAAGTAGATTATTTTTATTATGTCTACATGCAGGCTAGGTAATTTTGACATCATTCAGTTTAGAACCAAATATAGTTGGTATATCTGACTCATTGCCATTACTTTTATAGATCATTGTGTGCTGAATTGAAGTTCCACACCATGATGGCATCTACATGGTAAGTTTGATTCCTTCTGTGTGTGAAATTCTGTAAATATCATATAAACTGAAGAAATAATTGTATGTTAAATAAAACTATATTTGTTGTATGTTAGATTTTGCACAAGTACGTGAACAATGCTGTGCACTGTAACCATTACATTTAAACAAATGATCTCATTACCTCCAGCATAAAGGGTTATGGATATAATATGGCAATAATACAGCACAATTTTCTGCAGTTTTTGTGTCGCTTTAGATACTGTATATGTACTTTTCTCTGCTTGAGATTAATTATTTATGCTATGTACGCTTTCACAAATTTTCCATAGAAATAAATCACAGTGTACTAAAAGTGCAATTAAGATATCTGCGTAATTTTCTACTCGCGAATTGTACAGAAATGTTATTCAGACCGCAGAATTTTGACTCGGTGGAAAAAAGTACGTTTACAATGTTTGATATGAGTAATATAATTGCCTTTTCATGATATACATGTATATATTTTGTGATGAATGTGTATGCAATATGCTATATCTTTAAGATTTGTACTCATTATAACAAAGTTTGATCAACAACACGTCGTGAACATTTTGCAAGAAAGAAGATCAGAGAAGTGAAGAAAATCCTCAGGTATGATATGTTTGTGTTAACATAAAAAAAAAGAAAGCATGTTGTATAATGTTCAGGTTTTGATCAGTTTGTGTATTTCGCAGAAAAAAATGCATGTTCATTGAAAGCAACATGTTAACATCTTACAGAAATGGTTGAGTCGACATAAGGGAGGAATTTTATGTAATATTCAGCTGTTGGGAGTCCTTTTTTCTTTTGATCAGACAGTTATGTACAGGTTCTTTACAATCACATTCAGGTTCTTTGTCTCTTTTAAATTGTCCTGTGGTGCATGAGAATTTCAATGGTATAAAGGTATTCAGGTACTTTTTTATTTTGAACTTTTCTATATGCTTTCCCACATTGCAACGATTGGTTCCAAAAAAAAAAAAAAATCAATGGAAAGTACGTTCTTCTATGCTTATTCAAAATTCTTACTTTTTGTTTCGATTTCTCTGATTTGTATGACTGAATGCAGTAAAAATTTTGTACATATCAAAGTTTTTTTTTCTTGGAAGTTGAGTCATTGCGAATTAATGTCATTGAGCTTAAGTGTTGATTTACAATTATCTGACATGGATTTTGACATTTTTTTCATTACCAGTATTGGCTCATAGCTAAATTTATCAAACATTCTTGGAATGCCTTGGCCACAGGTTGAATGTATCTGCTTGTTGTACACAGGGCTTGATTGGCATATCATGTTCTTGACTGATTATTGTCATTTTGGAAATCCCAAAGCTTTGTGCAGGTTGATACATATTAAATGAAGACATGTAGGTATTCTTTTTTAAATTTAGACGAATATGAAAGTTTTGTTGGAATTCCATTTGTTCAATTCTGATTACTTTTATTTATAATTAGTCATTTTTATAGCAAGCATTTAAATTGTTTTTTTTTTTATATATATGCTTATGATATCAATTGGTTAAGCCCTGGCAATTCTGCTCCAAGTTGAAGTGTTTCATTCTTTAAACATGTGTAACTGTAATTGGGGTATTTATTGTCTCAATGATCATAAATTTTCTTGTGATAAAACAGAGTTCTTTTTAAAAAGGTACTGCATGTTTCTCAGTTAATGGTTATAGATGATTACAGGAGTCATGTAAATGTGTTAAATACAGTAAAATTCATTTAGCGTGAATACAGATATAGCAAATTTACTGATATAGCAAAGTTTTTGGATAGCCCCAGCAAAATTCTTAACAATTCCTTGAAATTTTTAGGATTATAACAAATTCTATGATTACAAATTTTCAGATACATGTATAGTGAATTGATTATTTGTCCCACAGAGGTAAAAAAAAAAAAAAAACAATGAAACTTACATCTTTTATAACAAATTTTTAAAGCTGTCAAAATAAAAACTATTGAACTGACATTATTTGTACAACTATTTATATTTGAAATTTATAAATTCACCAGAAAACTAGTTCTCCAATGTAAGTTTTGTATTTAATACTTCCCTGAACATTTTCAGTAGTCATACTAAAGGAAAACTGTACTGTGAAATCACTTATTTTTATGGAGTTTATTTTTTGTTATTTTCGAGGTTTAAAGAGACCCACAAAGTCATGTCCTCCAAAAAGTGTTGTAATTGAGACAGTGCTACACTTCTCCAACCATAAAATCAAATCCCCATGAACCAATATTTTTTCCTTAAACCATGAAAATTTGACATGAAATTAAGTGAATTTTCAGTAAGTTTTGAATTTGCTGGATATACTTTAATGAATGGGCTATACAGATATTACAAATTATGGATATAGTGAAGTAAATTCACAGGTCCCCAGGACTTCTATATAACAAAGTATTACTGTATACCTTTTATTACCCAAATCTTTCAGCATGCTAATAGTTAGGTCAGGAAATAGGAAAATGGCTGTATTAAGGGAAGGAACTAGTCACCCCCATCCCATACCCCCTTCCCCCATTTGGAATTCCTCCTTAGGGAAGGCAACCTACCAACCTATCTACATCAGTACATTTTCAGGGCAGTCCCAGATACAAGACACATGGTCAGGCTCCCCCACTTCTGAAAGCTAATCACTATAGGGGAGTTTTTGTAGGTAATTCTAGTTCAGGTGATTTTTATGGTAGCTTATCTCTATTGAGAATTAAAACAGCTGATAAAGTGGCTATACTGTACTTCCATTATCAGAAAATTGCTGGAATGTGCAGTTTATTGGTGAGTTGGTGTGTTTTAGTTACTGTGTGAGTTTATTTTGAAAGGTCAACTTTGGGACCTGCACTATTAGGAATGTTATCTTTATTACTACAATTTACAATCTTTATACATGTATATATTTCATGACATATGGAATATAAATAATTCATGTGAAAACAACACAGTTTTGGTGAATGAGAAAATGAACTGAGGTCACACAGTGAGTTCTAGCTGTACTGAAGTTTGATATGAAACATCAATAAGTGTTGTAATCGTTTACTCATAGAAGATTAGGCAGAATTTACTTTGAATATCTTGACAAAAAAACATTCGGTAATATAGATCAGCGTACATGAGGCCGAATCCATCTTTTCAATGATTGGACAATTTTTCAGAGAGTGGGAGTGAATTTGTTCACAACACCGTGACATATTAACTTGAGGTGTATCCAGCATGGCCTTTTAATGGAATGTTTTTGTGTATATGTGAAAATCTTTATTGATTTGTAGTTTGTACATTTATATGTACCGATGGATTAACACGCTTGTGTTGGTCACTTTAAACTTTTTCCTTTAAGTGGTGATAATACACTTATAGTGGTAAGTCTCATCAATACAGTTTTTATTTCTAGAACTTTGACACATTCTCAATTTTCACCCATAAATGTGAAATACATTAATAATATAGGAGGAACACATGCGATAGGGAATTTAGTTGTAAATAAAGAATATGATGTCCCTATGATAAGCTATGTGAACCTTGAATCAGGAAACATTAATTTAATTTATTGAACATGGATTGGCATTTAAAAATCCTTTTAAAATGTCACTTTTAAGCTTTCTTCCTGTAGTAGATTTTGATCGATTGTGAGGTATGTATACATTTGAAAACTTCAATCTTCTCTCTCTATTTTTTGCATTATAAAATCTAGTATTTATCAGCACACAAATGTATCAGTGCTTTATATATATAATAAATGCAAAGGTGTGATAGATATAGCCCTAGGAGTCCAACTTTCTTTTTTCATGCTGACAGCAGATAAATTATTTCCTCTGGATATAGACAACATCACTGATACAGGTGTCGGGTTCACACTTTGACAAGGAGACATACATTATTTGGCCTGGACTTTGTTTTTAGAGGATATCTATTTCAGATAATGATACAGTTCTTGCTGCTTTTTTAAGGAGAAGATTAAAGGTGTGGATTCAGAATAGGGTATTAAGATGTCTGCTGACAGAGCTGTATAGATTGAATAATATGGGGTACATGCCTGCATTAGACTCACCAGGTGTGAATTGTCAGAGGTGTTTTGTACCTGGACTTTTGTGCAATAGCATTTCAATACAGGTGTTATTTTTGAGCATTTTATGAATGTAATATAAAGAGTGATGCAGTATTTATTGCAAACAATTGCCCTACGGAGTATGCATGGTGAATTACTTGTAATTATATTGGTGAGTGGATTGCATAATTGTAAAACAAATTGTTTAAAAGATCAGTTTCTTGCAAATTTGTGGTGTTTAATGGATCATTATATTATTGTGGACTTCGTGTTATTACTTTATAATGTTTTAGCCATGAGTAACATTGCTTTTGGGTCAAGGTGCCTTGAGTTTTTGATGTTGGAAAGATGCAGGGTTTTTTTTTGTTTTTTTTTTTTTTGGATGTGATATAATTTACATGATAAGGAATGAACTGCAGCACAAAATTCTGTGGTAATAGGGAAAACCTTTCATTACATAAAAAAAACACTGTCATTTAGTTTGGCCTCTTGTATAAAAAATATGCTTGTATTAATGTTAGGCTTTAAGGTGAAATCTTAGGAAAACCTTGGGGAAAAAAATCATTTCCTGTAATATCAAGTGACTGTGTATATTTTATCCATGCAGACTTAGCCTATAAATGATCCACATGTTTTTTTATCAACAAAATAGAAGACCCCCCCCCCCTTCTTCTGATGTGGTGAGCATTGTGGCCCATGACCCTCGTAGATGTGTGGCATTATTATCTCTTTCTCTTCTTTAATAAAGATCAGCGATAACCTGTATTTGAAATTTTAGCTCTTAATCTCTACAAAATATTTTGATATTCTTAGCTTCTTCTGTAATTTGAGAAAGTAGGAGATTGATCTAAAAACAGATCGGGGTTTCTGGGTTGGTAAGGAAATTGTATTAGGAGATCGTTCATATGTTTTATGGCAAGAACATAATGACATAAAATGAATGCTTTTGAGAAGTGTCTCTAACAAAAATTACAGAGCTACAGTTTGGAAAATTGTTATGTAACAGTAGAAAGAAGATGTTACCTGTCTATAAATCCACTGAAAGATGGCATCAAGATATATACTAATCATTATAACTTTGACAGTGTTATTCATTATTGATTGAATTTCTGGCAGTATATTTTTAAAAGTGACTTTCAGTGTGGTTTGTTGATAATTGTGCTATGCAGCATATTTAGTAGGAAATTTTGTCTTCATTTTATTTATGTCCTTTTACTCGGATCCTCAGGAATTTGAAACTGCAGGGCTAATTAAGTCAAACAACATATGAAATGTGAAAAATATTGTTTTTCAGAGCAAAATTTTCAAGTACACAATTTGTATATGATTTAAAGAACAAAGTGTAATAATTACCTACAGGTAAAGTATATGATAATCAATCATTAATTTTAGAATTGATTTGACTGATTTGATCCTTCATACTTAATTACTGACAACAGTTTACAAAAGGTAAAGTTTCTATATTAATTTAGTCCAGAAAGTGTTGAATTGAGAGTTCTGTAATTATGAAAGGGGAAGCAACTGAAATCTTCCTGATTTTTTTTTAGGACTAAGTTCAAAAGGATATCAGAGATTAAAAAGAAGTTTATTTAACATTTATTGATTGCTTATGACAGGATAACAAATTAGATGTACACAGTTTTACAATAACAACTTCATTTTCAATAGACCTGGGCACATTCGTAATCAAAGCACATCAACTAAAACCTGGCCAAGATGAAAGCTTTGTCAATAAGGGTAGGGAAGTTTTTCTTTTCTAGTGGAAGTTTAACGACTGTGGTCCAAATTACACCTATGTTTAAATATTGAATAAACTGTGAACATTGAGCATTATCCTGTTATTTGTGTGTAAGTTGATTTATTATGAAGTAATGACCACCTTGGAAGGCACAGGATTCCATCTGAAGGAGACTGACATAATATAGCTGGAAGAAAAGATTCCTAACAAATCAAAAATAAGATTGTCTTGAACATATATTAACTCCATGAATTAAATGGGAACAAATATGAGACAAATATAGATCCAGGGAATTGCTAAAGGAAAAAAAATCTTGCAAATGAATTTATTTTTTCCTAAAAATTGGTAAATGATGGAAAGATAACAGTATATCAAGAATTTGAACAAATATTTTGTAACTATTTGTGAAATTGTGCATTTGAACTTCAGTATCTCGAATGTTGAAGTGATTGGGAAGTCCTTACCATGTATTTCTTAAGCAATATTTTACCCTGTCTCGATATCTCAAACCGTCGGATATGTTGAAGTTTTTTCTCGGTCCCATTGAGTTTGAGATAACGCAGTTTGATTATACTTAGATTTTCTCTCCC